CCCCAAAACCCCAAAACCCCAAAACCCCAGTGGGGCAATCGAGGATTGAATCAATATTACAATGTAGAATAGTAAAGTAAGTTATTTACCTCCTTTGGATTTCTTTTTAAGAAGGGTAACATCGACAACTTCTTTGAGCTTGTCTCTTTCCTCTTTCACATCTTCGCTTAGAGTAACCTCATGTTTAGCGTATTGATTGAAAGTAGTCTTGAGAGGAGCAGCCATTGGTCTGAGTAGCTTGCTTCCCTTTTCAAACATTCTTCTGAGGGCCCTAAAGATGGTTGATTTCAAGTCATCATCAAATTTATCATTGACAATTCTAATCAATCCTCCAGCTATTTTGATGATGCTTTTCTTGTAATTCTCGATCGGAGAAGATTTTGCTATGACTCCTAACAAGAAAGCTGCATCGAGTCTGTTTTCAATCCTTCCATGAAGCAAGGTATAAAGAGAAAGCTGGATAAGAATTTGGCATCCTTTCTGATTTTCAAAGATAGGAAGGGTTTCGAGATCGAATGTCTCATCATCTTCATCAATACCCATCTTTTCTTCAATTTCTATTCTAGCACATTTAGCAAATGAGTTATGCCATTCTCAATGAAGGGTCACAGCTTGAGGCGAAGAGTCCTTAGTGACTGGCTGAGCTCCAGATTCAAGTCAGTCAACCAACTTTGACAATAAGTCTTGATTTGCAGTGTCAATGTTTCTGCAGATATTTTTCATGTGCATTTCAACGTAGAGATCCGATTGGAATCTTGGGTGGTGAATGAATCCAGACATGAACACAATGTATACTCCCACTTTATCCTTCGAAACACACTCTTTATAGAGCTCTTCAGTATATTCTTGCCACTCATAGATCTTCTCTGCAGGAATCTTTGGGATGAGATTCTTGATAGTTAGAGTAAGCTCTTCAATAACTTCTGGAGATGTTCCTAAGTCAACATATGTATCGTTGGCAAGATATTTGGATGTCTCTTCAATCTCAAGAAGAGCTTTGCCTTCTAAGATAAGTTTTAGGATTAAGGAAAGCATCTTTGCTGGATCAGGAAGGAATTTATCACCAAGCTATACATTATAAGAATAAGTCTTACCAGTCTAAGGAGTTTAGCCCTGCTCAGATACAAGGATTCTTCATTTTCCTTTGGATTCAAACAAATAGAGGTCAGAATTGGGCTCACTTGGAGATAAGGGTCAGCTATTAAAGCTTCTAAGAAAGTAGTTTTCTTGTTTAAAAGTTCAGGATCATTTTCTTCAGTGGAACAGAAGTTATCCTTCAAGAAATCTCTAACAAAATCTTCATTGTTTAGTGTCTTTCTGAAAGCTTTGAAAACCTCACTGGACATATTCTTGACATGGATGTTGTCATGGATGATCATTTTCCCAATCAGTGCTTCAACATTAGATCTGTATTTATTAATTCCTTCGTCACATGCTTCGACAAGGCTTTGGAAATAATCGAATCTATGTATAGCTTCTCCATCTGTGATACCTTCAAATGCTGCGTTTATAATGTCGAAGGATTCATCCAAGAGTTTTACAAAGATTTTTCCCATGAGACTGTTGAGAGCTCTCTTTCCACTATGAGCAACTTCTTGATACTCACAAGAGATCACCTTGATCATGTTAAAAATGAGAGTTCTCAATGACTCCTTGGAATCGTTGAAAGGAGCGACAAGGTGTCTACCTAGCCTTTTTTCAACAAAGAGTTGCCATGCAGAGGATGCAGTGAAAGAGACTCTTTCAACTGAATCAAATGAGAGAATATAAATAGCGCTGATTACGTTTTCGTAACAAGTGATTACTCCTTCCTGCTTTTTCTCTTCATCAGGTTTGATCTTATGGATATCGCCTCCAAGTACATGCAGCAAAGTTGAGAGAAGAACAATAGTGTGATATCTGATCCAATAGTTTCCATGGCTGTATCCTCTAAGGAGTTGCTTAAACAATAGGTCTGGATAATCTTCTCCAAATGTCTCAATACCAAGCTTCATTCCTTTAACAGCAGCAGATCTAACATCTTCATTAGTATCTAGAAGAGCATTTTCGAACATTGGAAGTACTTTATTAACATATTCTGTGAAATTGATCTGACATCCACCATGATTCTTGAAACATGACATGAATCTATGATAATCTACAAGAAGAGTGATTCCAGCAACTCTGTTTGAGGAGTCATCTGAAATACAGAGAGACTCAATATGGCTAAGCTCTTCTTTCCAGATATCTTCTGGGTCCATGCTTGCTGGCATAATTTCTTCATAAGCTTCAGTGATATTTTTGGATTCAGCCACAGAAGCTTCTCGGAGTATTTTACAGATCCATTTAAGAGTTCCGACGCATTTCTTGAGACCGATTCCTTTGACAATTCCTGCTAGGGCTTTACAAGATGCTGATCTCAACTTTGGGTGAACAGTCAACAGGAGGTTAACCATGATTGGAGCAATTTCACTTAGATAAGGAGCGATGATTGAAGGCTCATTTGTAATAGAGCAAATATGCCCAATAATTCTCAATGCTTTAATTTGTACCTTTCTATTCACAGCTTCAAGACCATCTTTAATCAAAGGCATGAGAAGAGCGAGGGATGGCTCATCAAGTGAGTGGACAAATGTAGTTTCAAGTAAGTGATCCAATGCTTTAGTCAGGTTCTCTGTAGCACTAGATTTTGCTAGCTGTTCAGAATGTACCTCAAGGATAGCAAGAGCGTTTAATCTTCCCTGATTCCTCATAGCACTGGTGATTTTGTTTAATGCATCCTGTCCTGCTTCCTGTACTTTTGGATGAGTATCTAGCAAGATTGCTCTTATACTACTGATAACCTTTGGGAGATGAACAGCAACTTGATTTGGAGCGAACATGGCCATACTGCACAAAGCTTCAATTTGTCCTAACTTAGTTCTCCAGTTTGCTTCTTCTATACCTTTCAAGAAAATTGTGGATATGATCTTCTTTACTCAGAATCCTGAAATATTCAACATGATAATGTCAAGTGCGTTTTTACCTGCATTTCTGACAATGTTCTTTGAATCAGAGAAAGAATCCAAAACCTTTGGAACTATTCTTTCAAGATAGAGTTCGAAAGTCTTACCCAGGGTGAAGGAGAAAGCTTCATATCAGTTGAGCAAGGCAACTTTGACATATGATGTTGCCTGTTTAGCCTCAGCTAATTTTTCAAGAGTGTCTAAGATTTCATACTGATCAATTGTTCTCAGTCCAAGCCCTTTGACTATTCCTGAGATTGCATATGCTGCTCCACTCAAAGTACTAAGATCCTTTGTTTTCTGGAGCATGGTCAATAATTGCTTCAGGAATTTCTTAGATTTGCTCTCCAAAAGTCTTGAAAGAGGAGAGATACATTTACTGATAGACTTCTTAAGCTCTTGGTTTGGAATGTTAAGCATCTCAATAATTCTTTCGTAGATATCAAGAGTAGAATCATCAGATTTATCAAAGTGTTTGGCTAAGCTTGATATCAGCACTAAAGATTCGTTTAGCACAAGTTGTTCCTTTTTGGAATCCAAATCAGTTCTTTTATTTAATGGATTGAGTAAGTAATTCTTCAAAATTTTCAAAATTTCTTTAGAGTGTTTCTTTCCTTGCTCAATACAAACACTGATTCCACATCTTTCAAAAGCAATTGAGATATCTTGGTCTTTGTTCAGGTATCCTTCATACACAATGAACTCAAATAATTTCTCCAACTGTGACTCATCAATAAGGTTTGATACAGAATTGATGACTGATGCAAAGAACTTCAGCTGCTCATCTTTCTGAGTCTGGTCTGGATAAGAATCAATGATTTTATCAATACTCTTGATATACTCTAACAAGAGACCTCCATCAATATTGATAGCTGCAACAAAAGCATCAGTGGTCATTTTAGATACAGATCCGAAAGAGTCAAGCGCATATTGGGAGAAATTTTTAATTCTGATCTTCTTATCTCTTCCTGTCTCAACTACATCAACATTTGAGTAGTACTTATTCCATACCTTCTGTGCTTTCTTGTTTATAGGTTCTTCATCGTATTGCTTTATCCAACACTGCACTTCAAAGTTCTCAGATCTTGGCAATGGCTTGTCATAGTTATAGATAACATCTAAGAAATTTGGTAGCTGCAGACTGTGATAATCAAAGATCCTTGAGCACATTACGATTCTTTCAACGTCAGTAATTTTGCTGAATAAGGAAGTAAGGAACTTAAAGCTTAGTTCTGATACATAATCTTGTTTAAGGAGACTCTGGCCAACTCTCAACATGTCGATTGGATCATATACTTCAGAAGACTCCAAGATTTTCAGGCCTATATCTAATGCACTTTCCTTAAGGCTTTGGGAGATCACATGATGCTTAATTGCAAAATTAATATTTGTGAGAATTAGTCTAATCATTCCTCTCCCAAGATTAGAGAAGTTGATGTTATCTTGGCACATAATGTTGAAGAAGACCTTGAACGGCTTGTCAACTTCAGATTTCTCGATAGGGAGATGATCAAGCAATTTTGATGAGAGAAGTAAACATTCAATAATGCTGTCCTTCATTTTGTGAATGATACTATTTCCAGTGCTATTTTCAAGAAGTTTAGGGAGCTTTCTCTTCAGAATGAAGTTGCATGATGGATATCTGAGTAACTCAATAAGTGTATGCATGTTTTGGTACAGAATATTATCAAGGAGCTCATTATTTGATCCTTTTGAAGCAAGTTCATAAATACTCAAGATAGAGTCAACAAATGTGCATGCATTGTTGAAGGTATATTCAAGGAAATGATTAACAGTATTGAGGTCTCTAATTGTTCTTTCCTCCTTATTCTCTTCTACTGGGGGCTTTGGTGGCTCTGCAGCAACTTCCTTAGATTTTTTAGTTGTCTTAGTTTCAATTTTCTTAGTGGATTTCTTATCAGCATCTTTCTTCTTACCTCCTTTCTTTCCCTTCTTTTTACCCTTTCCAAGTCCAATTCCTCCAAGTAATAACTTGTTCATGTCCTTTTCTTTCTTTGGCTTAGTTTTGACTTGAGTTGATACTTTGACTTCTTCAAATTCTTCTTCATCATCTTCTTTGATTTCCTCAATCGCTTTAAGCTTATCTTCAAAGACTTTAATTAGGGCAGAAGCAGAGTCTGAGATATGGTTCATGTCATAGAATGGGATTCTAGGATACCGCTCCTTGAAGTGCTCCTTACATTTCAGGCATTTCTTAACCTGATCTATGATTGGTTTCAGCTTGAAAGTTTGGCTCACGATCTCATAGAACTCAGGGCTGATTCCACCTAGGCCTCCACAGACATTGATGGCGATCATCCTTCTATGAATGTTTGTGCTGAATATGAATTCTTTGGATGCAAGTTTGGTAACAAGATCTTTGCTAATCTTCTCAAGTATATCTTTGAAGTCAACTCCTCTCTCAGAGTAATGGTCGGTAACACTCTGGATATAATGGGAAACAGCCTGGTGTTGGAAGTTGCCCTTCGTGTTGAAATTATACAATGCAGGGCTACTGACAGATATCAAGTAGTCACTAAGTCCATTAGGTTCAAGGATCTTCTCTTGTTTACATTCAATAGAGTTGTTGAACAGATTTAAGCTGTGGGTATTCAGAATTGAGCTGATCAGCCTTCTGGCACTCCTAGCTTTGTGAGGATGCTGAACCAAATCGCTTGATTTCTCAAGTTCAGCGGCTTCAAGAGATTGGTTATATTGAATCATTTTCATGTTCAATCTTTGAAAGACAACATTTTGGAAGAAGTCTTCTGAATGATGAGATAGAGAAGCTATTGTGTGAATAGCAAATCTTGACAAAGTAGCATGATTGGTAAGAGAAAAATTCAGTAATGTATCAGTGATTAAATGTTTTCTATCTAATTTCTCAGCAGAAGTTTTGCCATGAAGTAAAACATAATAAGCAATTTGAGTGTAGAGTACACCTTCTGGTACCTTTCCTTCGCCGAGGACAACCCATTTGTGGATTCCATCTCTGTTAACTCCTGGTCTATCACTAAGAAGGGCTCTAATCAGACTTTTGTTGATTGAATCATCAACCTTGAACTTTTTGGAGTGTTTACCTTTTATTTCAAAGGAGATGGTATTTGTATCAATTGATCTTTTCAGAGACATAATGATTGAATTGGCCTGATCTGCAAGGCTTCCTAGTGCACACACAGAGAGGTTAGCCTTCTTGGATGACAATTCTATTGAGAAATATTCTGAATCTTCATCACCAGCATTTTTACTCCTAGCGACTAATCCAAGAGTAGTGAAGAGGATATTCAATTGATACATAGAAAGCTTAGAGTTCTTGAATTCTTCGCAAAAGGCAGACACTATTTGGTCAAACTTCTCATCGTCTTGGGAATATATCAGAATAATTTGGGGTAGAGATAGATAGCATCTTTGGAAATTCTCAAGGAATAAGCTATCAAAATCATTGGTTGATTCTTCAGCCTCAGCTTTGAGATCACTTAAGGAGAGTTTAAAGAACTGGAAGAACTCTTCGTAGAAATCATCTGGCTTCTCTTTCACAAGATTTTCAAGAACAGTGAAAGTGAACCCAATGAAGTTTCTCTTAATACTTGGGTTTAGTAAAGTTGATGGGATGATGTCTTCAACTTTGGCAATAAAACTATAGACAGCCTTGATACTTTCAAGGGAGTCGTAGCTTCTTGAGAAGATCTGCAGCAATTTGTTAATATCGTTTCTATCTCTGGTGGAATATCCGGTAGTTGAGGGAGCATTACTTTCAAATATACTCTTGAGGCAAGATATCATAGTGTTTTCACTATGAGCAACTTTTGTATGCTTAGCTTCGACAATGTCATGCAGAGAAAGAGCTGATCTCTTAAGAGCCAGAGAGATCTTTTGTCCATGACTGTCCTCTTCCTCTATACTATTTGAGAGATTTTTAATGGTATGATTAATAGACCATTTCTGTAAATCTTCGAGAGAGTCAAAGTTATGGTCAACTAGTTTCTCTATATTTTCTGAGAAGAGCTTGTCTCTATCCTCATTCTCCTTTCTATCAAAGAAAATGTCTGAGTCGTTAAGTTTGATGTAAAAGAGAGGCTTGACAGCAGATTGGAGATCAAGGAAGATTCCTCTTCTTTCATGCTTCTTGAGGGAGGGATTCCAAAAGTTAGCTTGCCACTTGTTCAGAAGAGGGAGAATATCTTCAGAAGGCAACTTCTCTTCTTTCTTATACATTACCTTAATGAGATGTAGTGTAGCTTTTATCAGCCAAACATGTTGCTTAGTAGTGTAAGTTTGATTAGCAGCAAAATTTTCCACAACTCCTGTAAGATCTGTGTCATAGTTTGAAAGATTTACTTCCTCTTCTACGACTAATGTACAGAACTGGTTGAATTTTTGAACGGCTTCTTCTGTAGAAGTTCTCTTAGAGAGTGTATTCCTTGCATAGTTTTTATAATCTTTTCCAAAAGAGCTGGTGCTCTTCACAGTATTGTCAACTGGGAGTGGTTCCATATTTACAATAAATAATTAATGCAATTTAACTGGGTATTTTAGGGGTTTTGGGGTTTTGGGGTTTTGGGGTTTTGGGGTTTTGGGG